AAAGAAATTCATAATCATTGAGGCTGTAATAACTGGTCCAATACCTAAGTCCATTAAAGTACCTCTATTGGATGCCATCATCACTCTCAGCCATCCAAAACTATCTGTATTATCTACATTAGTAATTCCATAGAGTGGTACTTGTGAGGCTATTGAGTAAACAATAATTGACAGTATTGTCCACACCAATTTATCATTGACTCCAAGTGACTGTAAAGGTGTCTTTATCTCTGGAAGTATGTTAAGAAATGGTCTTGCCAGTTGTATTGTCTGACTAAAAATACTATTATCTACTTCTTTATTAACAGTCTTCTTATTTTCTAAATTATTCTTCTGCATATTTAAGGGTTACAATTTTTTATTAAAAACAATTTAAAATTAATTATTTAATTAGATTTGTATTCTTTATAGGCTTCATTTAATTCATTTAAATCAATTCTATTAGATTGATTTATATTTTGATATATTTTACTTATAAATTCTTGGAAGTCTTTATTTGTTAATTTCATATACTCACTGTAACAAATAAAATTTAACACTAATTGATTGCCTGCTCTTCCAAATTCTTCTGTTCCTAAAAATATCTTTTCAAATTCTCTTACTAATTTGTTATTAAATATTATTAGTGATAATCTCAAATCTTCCTGTTGATAAACTTTATTAAATTCTCCATACTCATTGAATATCTCATCTAAATTGTCTGAATCTTCAAAATTAACAGTTTTTTCTATTTTTTCTATATTTGGATATTTATAATCATTTGTTTTATCAGTAAATTTTAATTCACTATTTTCTATTACTAGCATGAATGTTTCTTTTATATCTTTTATTAATTTCTTCATCCATCTTTCTGGTTTATAAAAATACTTTTGATAACCTTTATAATCAGTGTCTACAAAATCTAAAATTAAGGCTCTCATATTTAATATTTTTGTATCTAAAATAAAATCTATAAACTCTGCTTTATATTTATCTTTTAAATACTGACATAAATTTAAAGTTAATATTAATTTCTTATTATGGAATAAATCATTATCTTCGTTAATTTTTTCTATTGATTTTTTAAATGCATACTTAACTAGATGAAATCTATCATTATTTTCAAATTTAAGAATTATCTTATTAAGATCATTTAAAGACGATGACATTTATAAATAAAAACATTTTTTCTCTTAAAGTATTTCTAAAACAAAACAAACATTAAAATGTTTTTTATTATTACTTTCGGTTTAATTTAAAACCTGGATTACGTTTCTGTAAGAACTTTTCAAGAGCGTTTTTATCAACTGGAACTTTAGGTTTTTCAAATTTACTCTTCCTATTTGGAACGTATGTTTGAAAAGCTGGTTCTGGTTTAACTTCCTCTTTTGGTGCTCTACTGCTACCTCTTAACAATCCAAATAAGGATCCAAGAATACTAGTGGAAGTGCTACTCTCTTCTCTTTTTATGACTTCAAATAAATTAACATTGTCTGTTTTATCAACTTCTTCAACTTCAGTAGTGATAGTGGCAGTTGACTTATTTAAAGAATGATGGTAACAATATTTAGGTGCTTCTTCTTCATCAACTTTAAGATTATTTATTACTCATAAAGTTATTTTCTACTTTCTTTTCATCAACAATTAAATCTTTATCTTCTTCACTTACTTTAACATTATT